AACTAAGAAGTTTAGAAGAAGACTTCCAACAAATCAGAAATTCGCTCTAACTTAAAATTTCTTAAACTTCTTCTTATCAAATCAGAAATTTGCTTTTAGTTAAAAATTTCTTAAACTTTTTCTTCTGACAAATCAGAATTTCACTTTTACTTAAAAATTTCTTAAACTTCTTCTTCCAACAAATTAGAAATTTGCTCTTAGTTAGAAAAAAATTAAATTTCATTTTCCAACAAATCTTTTTTTTAGTTAAAACTTTCTTAAACTTCTACTTCCAACACATCGCCCTTACTTAATTTTTTTTTAACTTCTTCAAAGAAATCAGAAATTTGCTTTTAGTTAAAAAATTTCTGACTTCTTCTTCAAACAAATTAGAAATTGACTTTTACTTGAAAACTTCTTAAGTTAAGAAGTTTAGAAGAGGACTTCCAACAAATCAAAAATTCGCCCTTACTTCAAAATTTTTTAAACTTCTTCTTCCAAGAAATCAGAAATTTGCTTATACCTAAAAATTTCTTAAACTTTTACTTGAAGCAAAACAGAAATTCGCTTTAACTTAGAAACTTCTTAAACTTCTACTTCCGAAAATATCACAAAATCACTCTCTAATCTGTACAAAATTTCGTCTTAAACTTTACACAGAAACACCTGAGAAGTTTTAAAAATCTACCAGTCTAACTTATAAATTAAATAAAATGTTGTCAAGTTTAAACTTTAAACCGAAAGAACTTGTGTTAAAAAGCAGCTATAAAAATACGATTTTCACCATTATAATTTTCAGAAAAATGAATTAAAACAAAGTTGTGTTAAAAATTTAAAATCTAAAATCACAAACGAAAAAATCTACTGAAAATAATTTGTTAATTTCTTATTCAATCCCTTCAATGAGTAAATATATTCTGTAAGGCCTCTAAAAAAGCAATCTTTAGTTTTAGGTAAAACTACAAAAAACTAATATTGTTTTTTTTTCTCCATTTCCAAATTTGAAGTTAACAAAAAGCGGTTCCTGAACCCCATTAAAAAGTTTTTTATTTTTTATGTTATTTTGTATTTGTGCTTCCTTTCAGGTGATCCGTCGCTCGGGCAGCGACGAAAAATACCTAATCATCGTGAAGCACCGCCCCGGCCACTCCTGCCCCTCGGCCTTCATCGTGGTGTGCATCGTGATGTGGGACGGCATCCCCCACCCCACCTCCGACGACCTCTACACCCTCCTCACGTCCAAACTCAACAAATTCGGCGTTTCCACCACACGTCGTTGCGCCACCAACGAGTCCAAAACCTGCGCTTGCCAAGGCCTAAACCCCGACACTTCCGGCGCCAGTTTCAGCTTCGGCTGCTCCTGGAGCATGTACTACAACGGTTGCAAATACACCCGCTCGAAATTCGTCCGGAAGTTCCGCTTGAACGTCCAACCGGAGGAGAGAATCGTCGAGGAGAAACTCCAAATTCTGGCGACGTATTTGAGTCCGATCTACCGGAGGCTGGCTCCGATGTCGTTCCGGAACCAGTGCTTTTATGAGGACGTGGGGAAGGAATGCAGACTGGGGTTGAGGCCAGGACGGCCGTTTTCCGGAGTCACGGCCTGTCTGGATTTTTGTGCACATTCGCACAAAGATTCGCACAATATGGCCGACGGGTGCACGGTTGTCGTCACTCTGACCAAACACAGAACGGGGGAAAAACCGGAGGATGAGCAGTTGCATGTCTTGCCCTTGTATGTGGTGGATACCACCGATGAGTTTGACTCCGAGAGGGGGCAGGAGGAGAAGATACGTATGGGGAGCATCGAAGTGCTGACCAAGTAGGTTCCATTTTTTAGAAATTTTTCAAAAAAAACAACAAAAATCGATCTACAGTGCAACGTCAATAACACGAATAAATGCAACATAAAGTAAAAAATGTTTATTCTAATAAAATATAAATATATTCACAAAAAATATAAATAGTTCTTGTTGCTTCCAAATTAGCTTTTTTTCCAAAATTTCCCCTGCTAAAGGGGTATTTCTTTCTGGCTCCCTGTTGGAAAAACCCTGAAAATAAGACACACTTCTGATTCACTTCATAATATTTTTTATTTTTAAATTGCCTTAAAAAACAATAGATATTTCGAAAGATTTTGTTATTGAAAAACTGAACTGTTTAATAATAAACTGACTAAAACCAAAAAAATTAAAAAATGTACGATTGTGGGATATAGACTTTATTTTATATCTCACATTTCTCTTGATGTTGAAACACTATAACAATTTTTTTTTTAAAAGTTCTAATCAACAAAGTCAAGAATCCAGGTTATTGGGATCGGATAATAATCGAAATCATACTGTATTATGCAAAATAATGCAAAGAAATAATTGTAAAATTTTAAACTCCGAAAAAAAAGGTGCTAATAAATGCATTGAAATACTGGGAATTTTAGGCTGAATGAGCAATTTTTTGATAATTGTTAGTCGCAGGGGAATATTTTTTTTTTTATTAATTAGGAAGCATTGAAGTGTTAACCAAGTAGGTTCAATTGTTTACAAATTAAAAGAGAAAAACTTGAAAAATCAAAAATTTCCAAATCTGATCAAAAATCGAAGAACAGTAGTGCAACCTCAATAATGTCGAATTTGACATTTTTTCGGATTATCGAATTTCTGTAATTTGTATTGCAAAAAAATATTTATTCTGATAAAACACAAATATTTTCACAAAAATTAAAACTCAATTTTTATAGCTTCAAAATTTAGCCTTTTTCCAAAAATTTCTCTGATAATGGGGCATTTCTGGCTCTCTGTTGGAAAAACCATGAAAAAACGGCTGTTTCTATCACTTGATAAGCGGTTACCTTCGTTTGACAACGTCTGATTCCTTTGAAGATAATTTTATTTTTAGTCTTAAAATAATTGTTTTAGTAGCTTGTCATTAAAAATAATAATAAAAGTTTCATAATTTAAAATCTATTTAAAAGATATTTTGAAGATTCTTATTTTTAAAAACTGAGCCATTTGTATTATATGAAAAAATGTAAAATCCTAAGTTATAGGCTTTAATTATTATCCAGCATTTCTACTGAAATACTATAACGATTTTTTTTTTTGAAAAAAAATGTTAAATTTTGAAAAAAAACGTGTTAATTGTTTGAAGTGTTGCAAAAATTACTAATTTTATGCTGAAATGCATTTTTTGTCATAATTATTAGTCATATGATAATATTTTTTTATTAAAGAGCACTGAAGTGCAAGTATGTTTGATTTTTTTTGAAATTTCAGAAAATTGTTGACTTTGGATTTTTTTCGTTACATCAGCATTTTTTTCGATAACTATGCATCAAAGAAAAATGTTTTATAATTCCAAAGTTTTCGACGGATATCGGCTCCGAGAGGAACCAAACAAAAATTTCGAAAAAATTGTAAGAATCAAAAAATTTTAAATTTCAATATAATTTCAATAAGCCAAACTAATACAGTATAGTGTTTTCAAATCTGACATTTTTTGTACTATTGAATTCCTTAGTTTGTAATGTAAAAAATCATTTTTATAATAAAATTTACCTATTTATTTATTTAAACTTCGATGGTCCGAAGTTACTCAACTTACAAAAGAAGAATAAAAAAGATATATAATAATAAAAAAACAAAACAAATAGAAATTTAGTTTCTTCTTTCAAAATTTTTCTTGAGGTATTTTTGGCCCTCTGTGGAAATCAACATGAAAATAAGACTTTTGTACTACTTGATAAGCGGTCAACTTAAAAAATTTTGTTAACTACTTTTGATTTGCTGTATGATAATTTTATTTTAGATTATTTTTAACTAAAAAAATTGTTTTCATAGCACATTGATTGCTATTAAAAGTATGTAAAAATAAAAAAAATAACTTTAAAACAAAGATATTTCCAAGAGTTTTGTTGATAAATTGAACTATTTAATAATAAACTGGTTAAAACAAAAATGCAGACTTGTTCTTGCAACACTATAACGACTTTCTTTTTCTGTAAAAGTTCGTATTACCAAAGTCAAAGCTCCAGATTAATTAGTTCGGATAGTCGAGGTTGAACTGTATTATGTAAAATCATTTAGAATTTGAACAAATGTGCAATTTTGTCGATAATTGTTGGACGCACGATGATTTTTGATTTTATTTTATATTATGAAAATGATAGTTAAAAAGGTGTTTTTCCAGGTTCGAGACTGAGGTCCGCACTAGCCCAGCCGCCGCTCAAAAGCCAAAAAAACGCACCAAAGCTCCGCCAAGTAGCGTTTTCGAAACGCCACCTCCCGAGCCCGAAAGCGTCTACACCAATTCGTATTTAGTAAAATTGAACAAAGCCGCGAAAAAGCTGTTCGCCAGTTACCCAAGTGATCATTCAATACCTCCAGCCGCCGGCTGCTACTCTTCAGGATTCACAAATCTGCCATATTACAATCCAATCGAGAATTATTTTACTACAGTAGGGAATTTGTTATCATCGAAACTGAATCAAGTACAAACCAGCAGCAGCAGCGAGAATTCGGAGTGCTTCACGGACGCCAGCGTCGGGGGCGTCGCCATCGCCCTGGAGCACGGCAGCGTCCTCCTGGAGTGCGCCCGCCACGAGGTGCACGCCACCACCGCGCTGAAAAAGCCCAACCGGAAAAACCCCACGCGCATTTCCCTAGTTTTCTACCAGCACCGGAACTTGAACAAGACGCGACACGGATGGGACGAGTTTGCAAGGCGACGGATGAAAATCCCCCACCCAGAGAGGATTTTTCGTTTTTCCCCGGGACTAAATTGATGTTAACAGTGCCTCATGATCTCAAAAGTCGAGTAAATTTCCCACAAGTACAAATATAGGATTCCGTTCAACCGATCGAATGTGCGCATTTATTTATTTTAGTTAATTTATTGTTGAGACACGACTGCCATACTTTAAGTGCGGATTTGTTTTTATTTTATTTTAGGGTAGTTTTGTAGGTGTTGTTGAGTCGCCAAATAGAGATCGTTTTCGTGATTTTTGCCTTTTGTGACCCTGCTTCACGTTAAAGATATATATTTTTGCCCACACACGTGAACATGGTATTGAAAATAATGAAGAAATTAAATTCTATTGTGAAAAATTGTATAGATGAGTAGCACCGAGGTTCGACTCCAATTCAGGTGTGCTCGCTGTGTGCATTTTACGATATAGGATTTATTCTTTGTAGTGTTGGAAATATATTTTTGACATAAAGAAAGAATATTTATAGTGTTCTTAACATGCCTACAAATAAATTATTGTATAGTGTTAGTCCTCAGTCAACTTGATCCTAAAAAGATAATTTTATAATTACGTTAATGATAATGAAGAGAGAAAAATGATGCCAAATATTTTAAGCTAGTTATTAAAAATTCGTAATTTATTATTTATTGAAAACCTTTCTTCCAGGCCAGTATAGGCAGCCACGGTTTTTTATGTAAAAATAGCATAGAGCATCTCGTAGGGCTTGGGATTGGGATTTCGTTAAAGGGCTTTTCGTGCATCAATCGCTGGAAATCACCCGAATCTTGCCATTTCGTAGTTCACTCGTGCAATAATAATCTCATCAAGTCGGTACAATCAAGCACGAAAAACTTGTTTAACTAAATCAACAATCATTTTTTATTATTACATTGTACATATATTTTTACACAATTTTTTTAGGTGAATATTTATTGAATTTTGGAGACCGAAAAGCAATCCTAAATACTGTACATATGACAATGAGAGGGTCCTTTCATCTTTTTATAATTTCGCTCATTTGTAAAATTGATAATCATGACGAATACCATTAGATGAAGCAATATTGATCGATTCATATCACGTGGAAGTACCCGCTCACTAATATGTCTTTTGATGAATGAACAAAAAAAATCATTTGTATTTCTAGTTATAGATTTTTTAGTTTAGTATTAAGGAACAAATTAATATGTGTACTGTCTTGTGAATACATTTATATAACATAAATGTCTTTCTTACTTAGACACCAGCGATTTTTTTCACCCCACCCCACTCGCGATCGAGTTTCGAGTTAGAAATTTTTTAATTTTACAAGTTTCGGTTTTCGAGTTTTCAAATGTCAATTAACAGTTATCGCAAAACGCTAAACACCATTGTAATCAGCCTTTAAAAATCCATGAAATGGCATAAGCTTGAAGCGAAAATGACAAGAATTTTTACTTGTTTTTATTTGATTAATTTCGGCTAATGTATAGTGAAAACGGTTTATGTTTTATACCAAACCTATGTAAAATGTTCCGGGTAATAGATTGGCGTATTTAGTTAGTTTGAATATTTTTGACTTTATAAGCAAATTTCTCGCTAACTATTTATCGTAGTACAATGGGCTTTCTTTCATATGATAGAAAATTAAATTTGCTTTCCAACAGTGCCAAACACAAAGGCCTAGCGACAATAATTCCGGAGATATTGGCAATAAATCGCTTCGGTTACCAAAAATCCACCACAATTTTGTCAAATATTTAAAAATTGAAAACTTCAAAATTGATTGAAATGCACTTCAAGGGATCTAAAAGTGCATTAAATGTCGTAGAAACACAAAAAATAAGCATTAAAAAAAATTTAAGATGAATATACAGGCTGCGCCAGAACTCGCGGCCCAGAGAAAAAGGGTAAGATACCAGGAGCGTAAAAAAATGTTGAAATAATTCTACCTATAACAATTTCAAAGATATGAGAGTTTAAATGTTACACTTTGACTCTATTTATTTCTGTTAAAAAAATAATTTTTCAAGTTTTTTTACTACAGGCTAATGGAAGAGAAAACAAAGAAGCTGTATCCTAAATTGTAACTCTGTTAATGTTATTTGTGGATTTATTGGCAACATTTTTGTACGTTTACTATATTAGAAAAAAGCATATACAAGATTATCAATAAATAGACATAAAAGTGTCAAATGTCAAAAAATAAATGTCAAAATTTTTTGACAGGTAGAACTTTTTAAACATTTTCCCCATGTTCCTGCTATATCTTATCTTATTTGAAATTTTTCTCTGGGCGCGAGTTCTGACACACCCTGTATTTGACTAAAGCTAAATAAATAATAAGTTTTAAACCTATTAGGAGCCTAATATAGTAATAGAGCACAAATTTTTAAAATTTTAGAAGCCAAAAACGGTCCCATTTTTTTTGTGTAATTTGGGACAGAACTGTACCTCAAAATTTAAAATGTTTTGTAGTTTACTTCTGCAAAAAGGTTCCGGTAAGTCGATTAGCGATAAAATTTTTAATAGTTTTCAAAATTATAGTCGAGTATGGATTTTAACTCTTTAGAAATTATCTCAATAAGTATTTAGCGCAAAACAATAAACTTTTTTTAAAAAACAGAATATTAAAAGTGCTTTTCAACGGTACCAAACACAACCGGGTTTTTGATAATAGTTTCGGAGTTAGTTAGCTAATAACCGAAAATCGACTAAAATTTTGACACAAATCGGAAAAATTAAAAATTTCAAAATTTAACCCAATGCATTCCAAGAGGTCAAGAAGACACAGAAAAGTGCACGAAACGTTTTAGAAACGCAAAAGTAAAATTTAAAACAAGCGGTAAATTAAAATAAAACAATAAAATATAAATAAAAGATAAGTCCAATTTTTTTTCATCCAATCCATTTTATGTGATAAAGCTCTCAAAATCGCAAAATTAAATTTGTAATTTAAACATGTATTATAATTAAATAAGGATGTTAATCAAAAATTAAGTTCTATCAAAATGTGTAATAAAACGGTAATGATTCAAGTTTATGAACTCATTTGTAAACCTTGAAACATACACAGAAAAAAGTTAGTCCTAGTGAAATCAGCAATTTTTCTCTAATTCTAAAAAGCATAAAAAAGAATATAAGAGCATGAGCAGTTTTTAGAGTAAAATCACTTTTTTAATTTATATTTAAGAGGAAAAACTAAAAGTGCTTGACGTTTTTCTAGAAATCCATAAAAGTGCATTAAATGTTTTTGGATCAAGTTTGAAAATACTAAAAATAATATAAAAACATGATTTTTAGACGTATAATAAGAAAACGAAGCACCCGGTTAAAACGCTCTACTAAAAGTTATTTTTGAGAAATTGATCTATAAATCAATATTTAAGTGCTAAAATAAAATTATAATTTTGTTACTTTTCCTCTTCGAAATTTATTAAATGCTAAACGACCAATTTATCACTTAATTGGGCTAAATTTGCGTTTGAAATGAGCATTTATATCTATTTAAAAACTTTCGAAAATCTGTCATTCTAATATAAATCTATGGAATTGGTTGTAATAATTCACGAGGATCGATTTTGATTTCTTTCACCCACGACCTCTTCCATCAATCATCCCATTGTTGGGTGGCATCGGTGTCCCAACCCAGGAACAGCTCTATCACTTTCATCATCCCCTTTTTCCCATCATAGGTCACCCATCACCTTCGTCAAAGGTCATTGACAGCAAAATCGCAGGCAAAATGATAACCGGTGTCATGCAAGGTTAGTGTTCGTTGCCCATAATAGGCCTAAACGAGGCTGCATCATGTCCAAATGTTGCCCAAAAAACCGCCCATTCAACCACCGAAGCAACAAATAGCCAAACCGGTTAGTTACCTGCATAACATTCTCTCAAAAATTATACAGATTCCAATGAGCGCTGGCTACGCAAGTCTCCGCGACTACCACACCGATTTCTTTAGTCTTGGTTCTACTTTCAAGGATGTAACAGGTGTACAACTTTGTGCTAGATCTGTTTGCAGTGCTTTGGTTTAAGTGATCGATTGCTAAAATGATTGCTAGTTCGGTAAGTCACGTAGTTTTTCAACTCGAAAGCACGTTTTTCAAATATTTGCTAAAGTGGATCAACGCCTCCGAGGCGAAATCCGAGATAACACTGCATTGTTTTTTATTGGAATACATGCATCGCGGATTAATTATACAGATGGTCCGAGACCTTCCTACCAACATTGACACACTAAATGACTCATTTCATACATAAAAGGACAAAATTTAACGTTTTATTTAATACCTAGCATGAGTCGAAAAAATTCTGCACCAAACAGGTGGTGAAAATATTTCTACCCACTGGGATTTTTTGCATAATGCAGGTCGTTTTTCAGGTTTAGTGATACCCACGCCAAGTTCAAAATTTGTCATTTCTCAGTAGAACAAAAGGTCGAAAATAGACCTGAGAAGGAGTCTGCATTGATACATTTCCGGTTACAGCGTTCTAAAGCTGGCACCGTTTCCTCTCTTGGACAATATTATTGTAGGTTTTGTTTTAAAACGAGTTTTTCAAGACTCAAACGAGATTAATTGATTTTTGCCCACGTGGGGGCACTGGAACACAATTTACACAATGCGTTGCGAAAGATAAAACAATTAAGAAATGGCCAGTGTGGTAATTAGAGTGGTTAAATATTTGAAGGAGATGCAAGCGATTTCATAACGACTTTTTCTAACGCTCTCATTCAAAATTTCAAGTGAAGAAAATTGGCCAAAAAGTAAGAAAAGCAAGAAAAAAGTTAGGTTTAAAAAAGTGTAGCAAGAACGAAAAAAACGTGTTTTTTTTAAATTTCCAAGTGCACTTGTAATAATAATTAAAATCAATGTTAAAAGTATAATACATGTTTTTTTAACCTTAATTTAAAAAAAAAAACAGTTTATTCAACATTTCTCAAGTTTATCAAAATGAGAAAAAAGTAACAAATTTCTAAAAAAAAAGTTGTTTTTACACCATTTTAAAACAGCATACATTCTTACCAAAAAATTTCTGAATATTCTGAAGCACATTTTATAATATCTAATGGAAAATTTCTGGAAAAACAAGATTAAAAAAAGAAAATACATTCACATCAACAAAACTACTGAATATACATATTAAATAATGTTAGAAATATTTAGAATAACAAACAAATTTCATAAAAAAAGTTAGGTTTCAATAATTAAAGCAATTAAATCAATCTGGAAAAATCCCTAATTGTTTTCTTAAAATTGTTAAGTTGCAGCAGTTCAAGTTTGTTAAAACAGATTATATATAAATAGAATAAAAAGTAAAAAAATGTAAAAATCAAAAATACTCTGTAGTCCATTTTGTAAAAAACTAAAATTTACATAAATGTTGAGTTTCAAAAATAGAAGCAGATAAATCAATAACACTTTTCAAGAGTATTTTTTTTTAAATATTGTATCAAAATATTTTAACGTTTAATTTTATTAATAATCTACTTAAAGAAAAAAATAAGAGTGCAAAATTTTTAATGCATTTTAACATTTTTGCTCACAGTTTAGGACAAAAAAAGATACCTTTTGTTTTCATATTTAACAAAAACTTCTGTTCATTTAACATTTTTTAAGGTTGTAAGAAACAAGAGCGCATAAAGGGAAAAAAGTAATAAAAACATCTAAAAAATCAAAGAGTAATATATAACGTTTTTTAAATCTTTAAAATGAGACAAAACCTCTGGAATAACTTCATAAACATTAAAAAAAATCAATAACACAACTGAAGAAGAGGAAAATAATTCTTGCCTAATTATCGTCTCCATATTTTCAAGTTGTAGTTTTCTTAATTACAATCTAATAGGAAAGCCACAATTTTTTTTTAAATTAGAATCAAAGGTAAAAAATGTCTGTAAAATAGTAGTAGAGTTTTTTTTAAACTTTTTAAAAATAAAAAAAGAATCAACTTGAAAAAAGATTCTCAAAACCTTTCAATAGATTAGAAATAGTCTTAATTATCCTCTTGAACTTTTTAAGAAGTTGCAGTCCTGTGAATTAAAATCTTTTCAGTATGATCATATTTTGTAATAAATAGAGTTTCAAGTTACCTATTTGCAGTCTAGAAATGTTTCAAAAATTAATAAAAAACACTTTTGAAGTAGAAAAATCCTTTACATACCTCGTTGAAATTGTGAAATCCTGAAAAATGTAGAAAAGCTACAAAATTGAAACTTTTTTAACGCTTCTATTCTCGACATTTATTAAAAAAAAAAGAATTCTTATAAACAAGAAAAAATATTCTTAAAAATTCTCTTGAACTCTAGACGTGGCAATCCTGCTCTAATTAAAACTTATTAATAAAAGCGCACTTTTATGCTTCCTCGGCCCAAATTAGGCAGACAGATGATGCACTCGTGCCCACTCGATCTCTTCCTGTATTAAAAATACCGTCTCCTTATATGCAACAAACTTAAAATTCAATTCTTGAAGGTCGACTAAACACAAATTGCTAATGAAAGTCAAAACATTCAGCTGTTGAATACATTACATAAAGAAAATGTAAATGACGCTTCCACATATGAACTTGCACCAAAATTAAGCTCGATTTTTCACGAAAAACACCCTCAAGCCTTTCAAGAGCAGACAGACGCTCCGGAGCCATCGATCTCATCTAGTCTCGAGGGTGATTTTATTTTCGTTTATTTCCTCCACGTCCAATTCGCAATTTTCGTCACGTGTGCGTCGGGGGGTGATCTCTTGTTCAGTCTAGATCGAGACAAAATCGAGTTGGCTTGTTGTAACAATGAGAGGTGAGAAAAGTGGTTCGTTTTACTAAATAAACCGATTTCAACAATGGTTGCGTTTTTCCCACAAAACCGCCTAATTCGATTTTAATTTGGTTCAAGAGGTTAGCCGATTATTTTTCCCACCGGAAGACGTGTAATAACGGTGTTCCGGATATCGGGGGGCCACTTATAGTCGCGCCGGACGAGCAACGGTAGTGAGATGCAAGCCCCACGCCTACTATTCCCATACAACCACCAATTTTCGAATATCAAGGTTCTCTTATAGTGGCGGCGGACGAGCAACGGTGGTGAGATGCAAGCCCCACGCCTACTATTCCCATACAGCTTCCGATTTCTCTCGACTCTCTAATTCGGGATTGTCGCCTCTGGCCGATTTTTGCGTGACAGCAATTAATTGGCGCTTGGTTCTCACAAAAATACCGATATTGTACCACTTCCGAGCCAATTAATACTAATGAAGGGAGTCGAGTTAATTGGAAAAGTCTCAGTGCGGCCATAATTCCGTTTGATAGACTCATAAATATGTATAATGTGAATCGACCTTAACGACACGTTTTTTAAGTAATGTATTACCTAACCATTTTTATTCATGAGTAATCCGCGGAATTTCTATTAATAAATTAACGTAATTCAAAAACCCGAACTGAAATCAGGATGTGCAAGTAAGGCCTCTCTGTCATAAATAAATCAATGAACTCTGTGTCAGGTGCGTAAAATGGTCGTAAAAGAAACCATTATTTGACAATGAGTTTTTAACAGCCAAGGACTTGACAATTTTAGCATAGTTTAACCTCGATGTGTGTAAATATGTTAAAAATAGAGTTCCGGATTAGATTAGCACAATAAAAAAAATTACGATATGGGAATAATTGTCAATAAGTCGAACAATGAGTGGTTATGGTGAACTAATTCACATCATCAACGAGAACATAAATCGAAGCCACTGAAAGCAATTAAATTTGCGAAAAGTACAATGTGTTAAGTGGCCATAAAAAAATACTACGACTCGAGGAAATTATTTTTTGGGAGGTTTACTGTTAGGTGGTTTCCACACATTATTAATTACAAGAATATCAACTTTGTACCGTTTCCAAAACGGGTTCAACTGGGAAGAAATATCATAAAAGCTTCGAATAAGTAAAAACCAGAAAACACAAAGTAAAAAAAGAGGTGTCAAAAAACATTGATTGATTTTTTTAATGAAAAAACAGAACAAATCAAGTCAAGAAAAAGAAACCAAAGTTTAGGTGCATTCAATTTTTTTTGAAGAAAAAGAACAAACATTCTGAAATTACTGGTCATAAAAAATTACTGCAAGTTTAACTCGATTTTTTTTTTAAATTTCACACAATTGCACTATTAAAAACCTGTTTGCCAAAACTTTATCAAATTTTGTCGAATTTCGGTAAAATAGTCAAGTTTTCCCATGTTACATAAGGATAAAAAGGTGTCAAAGTGTATTACCATTTTTAATGAAAATACATTGAATTGCTTTTTTAAAAATTGAAAATAAAAAACATCAAATTGTTAAATAAGTTTAGTATACACTGAAATTAATATATAGTATTCGATGATTTATTAATTTATTCTAAAAAAGAAATCTAATTTGTTAAATAAAAATTATTTTCAAAGTGCAATATATTTACTATAGCTCACAAGATATGTTTTTTTTAATTTTATGCTTATTTCCATCTACATTCGCACTATTAATTAATACTCGTATTTCAACATAAAAAAATATGATAAAAGCTTCGAGTAAGTAAAAACAAGAAAACGCAAAGAAAAAAATTAAGAAAAACTGAAGAGATGTCAAAAAACATTGAATGATTTTTTTTATAATAAATAAACAGAATAAATCAACTCAAAAAAAAACAAAGTTTTTAATTGATTAAAGTTTTGGTGCATTCCATTTTTTGAAGAAAAAGAACTAAAATTTCTGAAATTATTGGCCATAGAAAACTACCACTAATTTAACTCGATTTTTTTTAAATTTCACTCATTATTGCACTATTAAAAACATGTTTGCCAAACAGGTCCAGCTTTCTCAAATTTTGCCGAATTTCAGTAAAATAGTCAAGTTTTCCCATGTAATATAAGAATAAAAACATGTTTAATTTTTTATGAAAATAAATTGAATTCAAACTCTTTTTTAATACAAGAAAACATTTTTTTGCTTTTTTGAAAATTGAAAATAAAAAACATCAAATTGTTAAATAAGTTAAGTATACACAGAAATAAATTTATAGTGTTCGATTTATTAAGTTATTGTAAAGAA